CAAGAGCGCATTTGCTAAATCATTACCTGTGCCGTTAAGATTAGCTGTTCCTGCGAGAATAAGATCTTCAACATTTGCAGCTAAAGTATGATTAACACTTGCGAAGACACGGTCAGTACCTTCATTTACTTGTTCAGTAACAACATCATTAATATTATCTACATAATAGGTGTCATTGCCTAAACCACCAACCAGAGTATCAACCCCGGCACCACCGTCTAGACTATCATTACCTATACCACCATAAAGTAAGTCATTGCCTAAGCCGCCAAATAGAGCGTCATTGCCTAGACCACCATATAGCGTATCATTACCTGCACCACCGTCTAGACTGTCATCACCAGCAGCACCATCTAGAATATTACTTAATGAGTTACCAACTAAAGTATTGGCTAAATCATTACCTGTTCCGTTAATGCTTGATGTACCCAATAGAATCAGACTTTCAACATTTGCACTTAAAGTATAGCTAGCTGTAGCGTAAACACGATCAACGCCCTCTCCAGCAAACTCGCTAACTACATCATTAGTGTTATCAACATAGTAGTTATCATTTCCGAGACCACCAAGTAAGGTGTCTACACCAGCACCACCATCCAACGTATCATCGCCCAAACCACCAGATAAAATATTATTACCTGCATTACCAAGTATTGAGTTAGCTAAGTCATTACCTGTACCGTTAATATTAGCAGTACCTGACAAGATTAAGTTTTCTACATTAGCGCTTAAAGCATAACTTACGCTCGCAAAGACTCGATCTAATCCTTGACCTACTTGTTCAGATACTACGTCTCCAATATTATCAACAATATAAGTATCACTGCCAAGACCACCAATTAAGGTATCAGCACCAGCGCCACCATCTAGGGTATCATTACCAGCACCACCATCTAAAATGTTAGCTCCAGCATTACCAAGCAACGAGTTGTCTAACTCATTACCCGTTCCATTAATGTTTAATGTGCCATATAAAATTAGATTTTCGAGATTACTTCCTAATGTATAAGTAATATTTGAAAATACTCGGTCAACCCCTTCATTAAGTAGTTCAGTTACAACATCACCAGAATTTTCAATGATATAAGTATCATTCCCTAAACCACCAATTAATGTATCTGCGCCAGCCCCACCATTTAAGGTATCATTTCCTTCACCAGTGATAATTGAATCATTAAGATTACTACCAACAATTGAGTTATCACTGCTGTTACCGTAAATAACAATGCTATCAAGCGGATTATTAAAATTATTGAAGGTTGTTGCTGATAAATTTAAATTCTGGGTATCCAAGTGAATTTCATATCGTTCAGCTACATCTGCACGATCAGTACCATTCACTGTAGTGAAATTTCCAGCATTCAACTGAGATGAGTTTACAATAATTGTTGAAGTACCATTAACAATCGGTTCTTTCAATGTTAGAGCTTCAACACTATTTAAATTAATCGTACGCAAATCAAAATTGAAATTGGCGTGTGGATCAATAACTAAAGTATCTGTACCATCCCCACCATCATAGCTCTCACCAGCCTCTAAATCGGTAACTGCTGTAATGATAAGAGTATCATCTCCCAAACCACCATATAGCTCATCAGTACCTGCACCACCAATCAATGTATCCGCACCTAAACCACCAATAATGGAGTCATTACCCTGACCGCCATTTATATATAGCTGACCACCCGATGATGAAAAGTCTAGGTTATCGCCTGATGATGAACCAAGAACAATACCAGTGAATTGATCACCATATTCAGTTCCTGTAGTCAGATCACGGACATCAAATGTCGTTCCAACAGATGCTGTAATTACAATCCCTTCATCATCACTACGACTTGCATTTCCAGTTAATCCATCCGTACCATCTTCAGCTTGGATTCGAACTGCTAATCCACCATCTTGAGAAGGTGTGCTGTTGCTATCAAGAGCAGAACCATTTCCTACTTCGCTACCTGTCAAAGTAATACGGATTTGGCTAGCACTTGTATTGACATTTAAGTAATCCAAGCTTTCTTTAAGATCTACTTTATAAGGAAGTTCTTCACCTGGAGCGGCAGTATCTAAATTAAGAGTGTACGTATCTTGACTAGGAGTACCAACGATAGAAGTCCCATCAATATCATTTACATTCAACGTAATCGTTTGTGTCGTGCTTCCACCAGCATTATCCGTAACAGTAATATCAAAGCTATAACTAGATTTTGTTTCATAGTCTGCTGCTGTATTTAAAGTCACGACACCATTTGCATCAATAGAGAATGCTGCTGCATCAATACCACTCAAACTATAGCTCGTTATAACATCATTTTGATCTATATCAGTTGCTACAGTCGTATAAACTACTGCACCCGCGCTAGCTGCACCTTCATCAATACTCACAATACTACCACTTGTAATAGTTGGAGCATCATTATTACCCGTAATCGCAATTGTGATTACTTGGTCGACTGTACCACCATGCTGATCGCTAACAGTAACTGTAAATGTCTCATACACGACATCATCGATACCTAATGCTTGTGTCAAACTATTGTTTACACTGTAGTTCCATTGAATACTACCATTACCAAGCCCAGTTGCTGGATCAACAACTGTTGCGGTTAGTATTCCACCTAAACTATTTCCACTATCAGGACTAATACTAACGCTATGACTATCACTAAGATCAACATCATCAAAGGTAATTAAGCCGAAGTCATTCAGATTACCAGCGCTAATAGCGAAATCTTCGATCACAACCCCATTCACATCAGCTGCACTTACAGTAGGAGCGTCATTTGTCCCTGTAACTGTTATGCTTGCAGTTTGATGCACGATAGCACCATGTATATCCTGAATATCGTAGCCAACTTGGATAACTGTTTGTTCGCCAATAGCTAAATGATCAAAGGCTATATGAGTTGGGTCAATAGTTAAATCATAACCACTTAAGCTAACACCATCTGGTAGTGATGTACCACTTGCACCGCCATCAAGACTATATGTAATGTTAATGATACTTAGAGTTGCTGTTTCACCATGATCAACATCACTTGCGCCACTCAATAAATCTACAGTTGAAGCTGGATCATTTTCCGCAACTGTCGTCGCCAGTGCAGCAACAACCGTAGGTGCATCATTGCTACCTTCAATCGTAATATTAAGTACAGCTCGATCAGAACTTAAACCATCTGTAACACGATAATTAAACGACTCTGTTAGTGTCTCGCCAACCGCTAGACTATTCACCAAAGGATTTGTATTATTTAAAACATATGAGTAAGTACCATTACTATTAAGAGTAAGGCTACCATATAGACCAACCAAAGCCGTTCCAATGCTACCTAAAGTCCCTGCACCCTCAATATTACCCGTGTAGATTTGGTTTACTTGTAAAACAGTACCCAAATCTACATCTAAATCATTGGTTAGCACATTACTTGAAAGAACAATACTATCTTCAGCAGCTATCTCGTTATCATCTACTGCAATTGGAGCATCATTACGTCCATGTACACCAACTGTTACGATTTGACTTGTAATACCACCATGACCGTCATCAATTAAAATAGTGAATGACTCAGGATAAGTATGTGCAGCTGCTTGCTGTGCCGTAGTATTTGATAAAGTATAAGTCCATTTAACAGTACCATCACCCGCGGCTATTGCAGAATCAGTAATGACCGCAGTTAACGTACCACCTAAAATGTTGCCACTATCTGCCACCACACTAACGGTATGATCATTACCTAACTCGATATCATCGAAGTGAATAAAACCAAAGTCACTTAAATTACCAGCACTAACTGCAAAATCTTCAATTACCGCGCCATTGTCATCGGCACTGATAATTGTCGCTGCATCATTTACACCATTAATAGTTACAGTCACTGTTGCAACATTCGAATCTACTGTTCCATCATTCGCAAGGTATTGGAAAGTTACAACTCGACTTTCACCATCCGCTAATCCTTGATCAGCTGCTTGTGGAGCAAGACTAAATGT